AATTATCAATCTTTAATTGCAAATAACTGCCCAAGGACAAGTTAAGGTAAAACCTAATAGAGGTGTCATACATAATAACCTAATAAAAGTAAATATAACAACTACTACAGTGCAACAAAACAGGAATATTAAATGTGGTCTCTTAAACATAAGATCTCTAGCATCTAAAGCAATATTGGTAAATGATTTAATATCAGATTATAATATTGATATATGCTGTCTCACTGAAACTTGGTTGAGACATGAAGAATATGTCAGCATAAATGAGGCCACTCCACCCAGCCATATCAATACTCATATTGCCCGAGGCACGGGCCGAGGAGGTGGAGTTGCAGCAATCTTTGACTCAAGTTTACTTATCAATACTAAACCAAAATTAAATTATACCTCCTTTGAAAGTCTCGTTTTTAGTCTTACGCATCCGACCTGGAAAACTTTGCAGCCAATCTTATTTGTTACAGTGTACCGTGCACCAGGTCCTTATTCAGAATTCTTATCTGAATTCTCTGAGTTTTTATCAACTTTGGTTCTTAAAACAGATAAAGTAATTATCGTAGGTGACTTTAATATTCATGTTGACGATGATAAAAATAGCCTTACTGTTGCATTTAACTCTATATTAGATTCTGTTGGTTTTTGTCAGAGTGTAAATAAACCAACCCACTGCTATAATCACACTCTCGACCTTGTTCTGACTTATGGTATTGAAATTGAGCAACTATTAGTCGAACCGCATAATCCTGCTTTATCAGTAACTTTTGAAGTACTGTTACGAGACTACAAAGCATTAGTCAAAAGCTCCTGCAGCAGAAACCTATCTGTTAGTGCTATAGCCAAATTTAAGGAAGAGATTCCACCAATACTTAACTCGATAGCATGTCTGCATGTAAGGGAGGAAACTTATACAAAATGTACACCACCCCAAATTGATCATGTTGTTGATAGTGCTACAGATGCGCTGCGAATAAAATTAGACTCTGTTGCTCCTTTGAAAAAGAAGAAAATAAAACAACATAGATTAGCTCCATGGCATAATGCCGAAACCCGCAAAATAAAGCAAAAGTCGAGACAACTTGAAAGGATATGGCGTTCCACTAAACTTGAAGAATCTCGTTTAATTTGGCATATTACTCTCAATGAATATAAGAAAGCACTGCGTAAAGCGAGAGCAGCCTACTACTCTTCATTAATAGATGAGAATAAGAATAATGCAAGATTTCTTTTCAGCACTGTAGCCAGGCTGACAGAGAGCCACAGCTCGATTGAGCCTTCTATTCCCATAGCACTCAGTAGTAATGATTTTATGTGCTTTTTTAACGATAAAATTGTTACTCTTAGAAACAAAATTAATGACCTCTTGCCTTTGACCAGTATAGTGTTATCAACAGCTCCCGGAAACGTAAGTTCTAATATTACACTAGATAGTAAACTAGAATGCTTTTCAGCCATAAACCTTGAACAATTAAATTCAATGATTCTCTCTTCTAAACCATCAACGTGTATGTTAGACCCAATTCCAACTAAGCTGTTGAAGGAAGTTTTTCCATTAATTAGCACTTATTTATTAAATATTATGAATATGTCTTTATTATCAGGCTATGTTCCACAATCATTCAAAGTAGCAGTGATAAAACCGCTTCTTAAAAAGCACAACCTCGATCCAGAGGTTTTAGCCAATTATAGACCTATTTCCAATCTTCCGTTCCTCTCAAAAATTCTTGAGAAAGCGGTCGCAAAACAGTTGTGTGATTACTTAAAAAACAATGATTTATTTGAAGATTTTCAGTCTGGCTTTAGAACACATCATAGCACAGAGACAGCTCTGGTTAAAGTCACAAATGACATTCTAATAGCCTCTGACAAGGGACGTGTCTCTATTCTTGTTTTGCTCGATCTCAGTGCTGCATTTGATACTATCGACCATGATATCTTATTGCAAAGACTAGAGCACTTAGTTGGCATACAGGGAACTGCTTTAGACTGGTTTAGGTCCTATCTATCTGAACGCTCTCAGTTTGTATGTGTCAATGATGAATCTTCCACGCAAACCAAACTTAGCCATGGAGTGCCACAGGGCTCAGTGCTCGGACCTATTTTGTTCACATTATATATGCTTCCGTTAGGCAATATTATAAGGAATCATTCTGTAAACTTTCATTGTTATGCGGATGATACTCAACTATATTTATCAATCAAGCCTGATGAAATTAATCATCTAAATAAAATTCAAGACTGCCTTAAGGACTTAAAAACGTGGATGACCTTAAACTTTTTGATGTTAAACACGACCAAAACTGAAGTTATTGTACTTGGCCCGAAGAATCTACGAAACAAATTATCTAAGGATATACTAACTATGGATGGCATTAATTTGGCCTCCAGTGAGACTGTAAGGAATCTTGGTGTTATATTTGATCAGGATTTATCCTTTAACGCCCACATAAAATCAATTTCAAGGACCGCCTACTTCCATCTACGTAACATTGCAAAAATCAGGCATATCTTGCCTCAAAACGATGCAGAGAAACTAGTCCATGCATTTGTTACTTCAAGGCTGGATTATTGTAACTCTTTATTATCAGGGTGTACCAAGAAGTCAGTCAAGTCGCTTCAGCTGATTCAAAATGCTGCAGCTCGTGTACTAACCAGAGTTAGGAAAAGGGACCACATTACTCCTGTTCTGGCTGCCTTACACTGGCTCCCTATAGAACACAGGATAGAATTTTAAATTCTTCTTCTCGCCTACAAAGCCCTTAATGGGCAGGTGCCATCTTACCTCAAATAACTCATTATACCCTACTGTCCTACTAGGGCATTGCGTTCCAAGAATGCAGGGTTGTTGGTTGTTCCTAGAGTCTCTAAAAGTACAATGGGAGCCAGAGCCTTTTCTTATCAAGCTCCACATTTGTGGAATCAGCTTCCAGTTTGTGTTCGGGCGGCAGACACCCTATCCGTTAAAGCTTATAGTTAGGGCTGATTAGATTCAGCCCCTAGTTTTGCTGATATAGGCTTAGTTTGTCGGGGGACATCTTACTTCTTCCTTCTCTCTGTCTATACCTGTGTACTCTCATGTTCCGATTAACCCAGCTTCCCCAAATGTCTTTCTTTTTGGTGTCTATATACGCCGGGATCCGGAGTCATGGATGATCGCGAGCCCTGGATCATAGGTCCTGGATGGATATCCTCGTGGATTCATTTTCCTATTATACACACATGCATTTCCAAACATTTGGACTACCTATGTTGCAAATGTATTATCTTTTCAATTTACACACGGCATCTATTGCACGTCTGTCCGTCCTGGGAGAGGGATCCCTCCTCTGTTGCTCTCCCTGAGGTTTCTCCCATTTTTCCCTTTTAAACTGTGGGTTTTCTTTGGAAGTTTTTCCTTGTACGATGTGAGGGTCTAAGGACAGAGGGTGTCATACTGATATTTTGTACAAACTGTAAAGTCCACTGAGACAAATGTAACATTTGTGATATTGGGCTATATAAATAAACATTGATTGATTGATTGAAATAGAACATGATATTCAGTCTTAGTGTGTGTGTGTGTGTGCATCGAATATTTTTCAAGGCAAAGATACGTTAAACCCACTGCAGCCTTGCACTTCGCCAGGAGAGGTCGCTGTAACTGAAGCTTCGAGAAATGAACCTATTTCCGACACAATTGTCCAAGTGGTTCGACGCTTCATTTTGCCATCACTAGTGAGAACCACTTATCTGAGGGTGACAGGCCAGAATAGCTCACTGGATTGCAGGGTTAACTTGGAAGGGGAAAGTTGAATGTTTCCCCAACAGCTCCTGGGTTCAGTGGCAAAAACTCCCAAAAAATAGCCTGATTCAGCAGATGAAGTCCTCAAGAATCCACTTTTCTCCTTGTTCGATTCCGACTTCCTCTTGCTTCTTTCTCCCTCTTTCGAATGACATGCTGTCCTCCTTTTAACAGCACACAGGTGCCAATCATTCTCTTGATTGTTTCCTCTAGTTTCTCTCAGGGGTGCTTGATTAGCCACTCCCCTTTTTCTCAGGGAATCTTTAGGAGTGGGTTTACTTTCTCCCTGTCCTGCTACAGCGTGATCACTATTATTTATAGTCATTGCGTGCCTATTGATTTTAACACGATCCGTGTATCCATCATTTCCTGGTCTTGTCACGATCTGTCTGTGTTGTGTTTTGTCTTGACTAGATCTGTCTTTGGTTTTCTGTCTGTGTTGTGTTTTGTCTGGTTTAGATCTGTCTGTGGTTCCCTGTCGTTAGTTTTCCTGGTGTGTCTAATTTACCCGATTGTGTTCACCTGGTGTCCCTGTGTTTTCTCCTCCCTCCTCACCTGTGTCTTGTTTGTATGATTAGTCTTGTGTGTATTTAAGTTCTGGTTTTTCTGTCTGTCTTTGTCGGTTCGTCTTGTGTAATGACTTGGTCTGCGGTGAGTGTTCTGTTCAGTCTTTGTTTATAGTTTAGCCTTGAAATAAAGGAGTTATTTTTGTCACTTTTATCTGCATTTGGGACCTGCTTCCTACACACACCGTAACAGGTCTTCTCTAAACAAGAGGGACCAATGAGAACTTTGTCATTTTACTGCTGTTCAGCATCGAAACATTCATTAGCTAACAATGACATTATTGTTCTATTAATAAAAAGTGAGGTCAGTTACTCTTTAAAACAGCTGGTAGTTATGGGTACTTTTACCTTAAGTACATTTCGAAAGCCCATACTACTTTACTTTTACTTGAGTAAAGAAGTTTAGTCAGTACTTCTACTTTTACCAGAGTATTTCTAAACACGAGTATCTGTACTTCTACTTGAGTAAAGGATGTGTGTACTTTTGCCATCTCTGCTTTTCTGGGAGTTTTAATTTCTGCTCAGTTTAGAATTTTTACAGGAAATCATTTCTGTAGTTCATATCTGCAAAACATGTTCTGTCTGTATGGACATTTAAATGTGTTTTATGTTGTAATTGAGAATGGAAGAAATCACTGTTTTTGTTTTGCTCTCTTCAGGCGGCCATAGGCTCCACAGCTTTGGACATGGCCCGGTCGAAGGACGACAAGGTGTTGCAGAAGTACGGCATGGATGTGCTTACTGTGGCTGTGCTGGGCATCCTGCTCACTGCCCCTGTAGGAGCTCTGATCATAGGGCTCACTGGACCTCGTCTGCTGCAGAAACCAAAGAACTCTGCCTGTGGTGAGCGAGTCAAACCCAATGTATCAGCCTTTTTCTTAGGTAGGTAAAGTCCTACATTCATCAAGTCCACTCCGCTTAACACTGCTCTCGGACGTCACTGCACCTTTTTGTTTGAATACTGAATATACTTTTTACCTTCATGATAGATGCGTCCAGTCAGACAATGATTTGCATAGATTCTATTTACCCTGTCATTCATCCATGTATTTTACATCCACACAACAGTGGCATTGTTTCTGTTATAGTGTAGGTACACTGGATTAACCACAGTGCAAACGTTGAACACATGGTTGTACACTTTTCTTTGTTTACAACAGAGTCTGTGTAGCATGTGATAAGTCTTTTACCCAAGCTTTTCTCATGACTTTTTTCTCCCTCTGTCTACTCTCCATCTGGAAAATTCCTTGCAGCAGGAGGTGAAGATGAAAATGAATCTCCTGTCACCTATGAAAGCACACTCTGACATCACCTGTGCTCATCCAGTAAGCAGGGACATTTAAGGAGACTTCCTTGGTGCTTTCACACCTCGGATATTTGAGCTTTCCTTTAGCCACCGAGTGGCTCTCTTTTGTCTCTCCATCTGCCGGTCAGCTCCTGATGTTTGCCGTGCTGCAGGAACACATTAATCACTCTGTATTTATAGCCTCTGGTGGTTTCCAGGCCTCAGGCTCAAAACAAATGACCCACATCCAAGCGTGTGCACAGTCATGCTGTATGAGACTCTGTAAGAGGTGGTTATGTTTCTGGTCCCCAATTCACTTTTATTCAGATATATTAGTGTGAGGCATGAATATGGTTTACATTTTTGAAAAAGCGGATATTATTTTCTGCCTATCATGTTCAATAAATCCACTTTTTTCCATTTGTATGACTGTAATGACATATCAGTTAACTTGTCACTGTGTTTGGACTTGAACAGGTGGAAATGCTGTATTTAATTAGAAGCCATTGTCTTTTGAGCGCTACATAATTCAATGCACTGACGGTAGTAATATTGTATTGTTTTAAATTAGACTACAGTCTGTAGGTGTTTTGCTCACAGTACAACATTTTTAAAGCTATGTGTTTGTTTTATTTTTGCGTATGTTTGAAATAATTTGTATTAGCCGTGTATTGGTGATAAGACGGATTTTGTGTAGTTGACATACTCAGGAGAAAAATCTAAATAATTCACCACACTTTCCTACGGTTTAAACAAAATGCTGCTAAAACACCCATCCTCTGCTACATTTCGCTATGTCGGTTTCCATTTTCACAGATACTCAACAATGACCATTTCCATATTCAAAACGTTCATGTAAACCATACCGTTGATTGTAAGGCAAAGTCGATTTTTCATATTTTTTACATTTGTTTTTATTACAGAAGTATGCAGTGGAACTTAATGTTTTTTATTTGAATGTATTGACATTGCCTCGTGATGTATTATTATAAACTATTTATGACAAAGTATAAGAATTGAGCATTAGTTTTTTACCAAATATTCTTTAAGTAATAAATGATAAAACACATCAATAATTGTTCTTCTCTTGTATGTTGAATGTATTGTGTGATAGTGATAGAATGATAGCTTAAATTATGACAATTATTACAATTTCACTAACCAACCAACAATCATGTCCTATTTTAATTTGTTCACTGTCCCTTGAGGTTTCGGCTTCTTATCTGTTTGCTTTTTATCCATACTTGCAGCGTGGCTCTAGGGATGGAAGTGTTGGTCGTTCGGTTGGGTCACCACCTTGGTCTGAGGCTGAAATAACTAAACAACCTTGTCCGGGTTTGATAAAATGGTATATACCTATGAATGACATTCCCAACAGCCTTTTCTGAACTTTGTGTAGTGCTTATCGGCAAATAAGCATGCCAACTAACATGGTCAAAAATGATACGTGCTAAACATCAGCATATAACACCAAAGCATGTAGCATGTAGCACACTGCATCAGCCTCAGAGCCAATACAGACTGAAGTCCTAGTCTTGTTTTCTATTGCTTTTATTTCACAAAATACATGTGCATGAGGACATTTGATGGCATTAGTGCATGTTTTCTTTGTGTGTGTTATTGACAAGTGGCAAAAATAATGCACTTCTTTATAAATATGACCCCAAAGTTATGCTCTGCATGCCAGTCCTATTGAAAAAGTGAGCCGCAGATAAATAGAAACTGATGTGATAAGTTGATATGCTCAATTATCTTTAATTGAAAATCTACTTCAGCTCAAGGGTCCATAAATCATCCCGTCGTAGTATATAGAGAAGGCAACGAAGCTGCAGTTCTGTCGACTATTCCTTTTTTACACATTAAGCACAGAATGAATCAATTCAAGCCATAATCCTACAAAGGTTCATGAACAGTTATTAATAGAAATCATCATGGACATACAGTTTTGATGATACAAGCAATTTATGTATAAAATATTGCTGATCAATCAAGTAGGAATATTCCAGTAGGAGGTCAGCTGTATACAGCCATTATAAAATGCAGAATCTTGAAAAACAGTACAGAGCAAATATCTTTCTGAAACCTCGACAGTGTAGGGAGGTTAAACCTGTGTAACTGGATATTTATCAACAATGCAGTGGTTTGAAATGTTTGTAGGCAACAGAGCTGAATACAAAATGTAAAACTCAAATGCTTCAAAATGAATTTGAAGAATACCAAATAGCTTCCCATGCACACAATAACTTATAAGAGAATATATCACATTGTGAAAGAGTGAAGAGTATATTGGCACAAAGAGATGGTTTGTTAAAGAATACCAAAATAACATCCAAAATGAAGACATACAGAACAAAGTGTTCATCAGAGGTTGGACTAGTATTTAAGTATTTAATTTATACAAATTAAGTCACTGCAATTATGTTTCAAGTTTTCCTCTCAAAGTGGTCCCAATGTTTTGTAATTGATTCCAAAAGAGTTGAGACCTGGCTAAAATTAAAGTTACAGACATATAAAAAGGCTGCTGTTAACCAAAAAAAAGTAAACTATGAAAATATGCCTATAAAAGAAGTAGGAGAAAAAGCTTCTTTACTGCACAATGTGATGTAAAGTTCCTAAAATACAGTTTTCTGTTCCGTTTTGTATTTCTAGGTGTATCACTTCAAACAAAGACTTGTCATCCACATTTCAGAGCAACATAAACATGACAACAGGGTGAGAAAAGGAACACAAATGAATCATGTTAAGAAATAAAAACTAAAGACAGAGGAGGTGAAAAGAACATTCCATCAGTGATCAATTATAGTATCTTCTTTTTGAGTATGAGCGGTCCCACGTTGTCCCCAGTTAGCTCGTTGTGCTTTAAGTGTGACTTGTCACAAACAGGAAACTAGAAAAGGAAACAACTTAGTGTTAGTTGATCAGCAAAATTCAGACACACTCTTCCTTATCCTGCATAGTAACAAATATAATTATTGATTGGAGACAGTATGACTTAGCTAATGATAGTTAAAAATAGTTATTGCTCACTACGAATACATATGCAAAGAGATTCAACTCACAGTTTTGGAGCGCCAGCAGCGACAGTAACACACATTTGAGCTGTTCAGGTCCTCGATGTCTATCTCGTTGACCACTTTGGGATTCTCTTTCTGGATCTTCAGGTTGATCAGGCTGTCCCTCTGCTTCTTCTTCTTCGGCAGGAAGGGGCGAATGGTCAGATAGCCCAGCAGAGCCAGGATACCCAGGAGAGGCAGCAACCGGAGCCATTCAGACACTACACACACATTAAAAACATATATTTTATACAAATGTATTATCTGAAGTTAGGAAATGTTGAAACACAAGACAGAGTCAACAGTCAATAGTCATAAAAAAAGCAATCACCAATAATATCTGACATCAAGTACTATGATATTAATAAGACATTTAACAACCTAGCGATGGAGTGCTTTTGTAGCCTTGTGGTTACAGCACGTGTAAGGAAAATATAACTGCATCTTCCCAGGTTCGATACTGACATTGGGACCTATGTTGTTTCTCACTCTCTCCCCCCTTTTCTATACAGTCAGATTAATAAAAGTGAAACAATTCTGAACAACAAAAATTGGAGAGATTAAAGTTATATGTGAAATGTGTTAACTGCAATTACATCTATTTTCAAAACAAATGATTCTAAGGTGAGTGCAAGATCCTCATCCCAGTGTGGTCACTCTAGGCTAGGGTAACACATTGGAGGACAAGCTCACCTCTTCTCTGTATTTCCACTCTATTAGTGTGAGTGATACACAGCTATCGGGGGGAATTCCACACTGAGCCAGAAAAGTGCTTTGGGAAAACCCCATCATAAAGTCCAACATACATGGAGAGGACAGACCATGGTGAAGATTAACCACAATGTATATAGTATTAGCTATGAGTTTTAGCCCAGCTCCAGGAACTTTCTTTATAATAATCTTATAGCTATTAAAATTATTTTCCAGTAAAAGGATTTAGATGCATAATGGGTCAATGCTAATATCTTTAAGGAATTATAATCACATGTAGGAGCACTGGATACATCTTTCATCTTCTAATCTGCACCGATTAGCTTAATTGCTCATTTATGACTGAAGATACAACCTCAGGAACAGGTTTAACTTCAGGCAACATCTTGACCTAATAACCAATTATATCAAGCCTTATCAATTAGTATTAAGTGCTAATATAAAATATAACGTCCTGTTTCATGCAGGTTTTTACTTTTACGGAGTTCTTAGAGACAAATTACTCATATGAATGTAGCATGTCAATTTGTCATGAAAGAGTTTCAGTCATGCAAGCGAGCTCAGCTTTTTCACTTTTTGGGGCTATTTTTAGGACAAATCTGATACTTTCCAGGGATCTGTGTTGGCTGAAAGGTCATGTTGAAGTTGTGGATCTGCTTTAAGGCAGGTTTTCACTCAGGCTTTCCGAACCACTTTTGTGCTCTCCTTGATTTAAAACTTAACAATAAGATGTTTAAAGTGTATTGAGTCTTTGTAAAAGAGTTGCAAAGACGTTCGTGAATCAGCTTTGGTGTCCTTGATTTAACAGTTGGAAGATGTCACTTGCAACAGAAAACACACTCATGATGTAGTCCAGCAGAGTTTTTCTGAGACTAAACTTCCAAAAAAAGTCCTCGCCGATCTCTGATCGTGATACTCATCGAAGAGAATTAGCTGATACTGAGAATGGATAACTGTTCTCTCTTTTTTCCTAAATTTAAAAACTGATTATCTTGCTCTATGGAATTTGACAGCCTGAACTCTGAGATGATGGATAGTGACATCCATAGAGACCAATCCCATGACATTTGGTTAATGTATTCAAAATAATCCCAAAACCAATCCTGCTGGAACTTTCCCATTGCTGTTAAAAAAGAATATCATAACGTTTTCCATGCTTGTATTTCTGTTAACCACTTAAGGATGAATTGTTATTATATATTGTATTAAACATGTGTTTTTAAAAGTCATGCCAAGACCAAGGTGACCAAGGTTTGCTTGAAATAACCCATGATTGAGTACATTGTTGCAGCTCTGCTTTCACTGATATGAAAACATGAATAGGGTCAAAGACATGAAGAGGTTGTGAAACAATGATCTTGAGGTAGCCTGTGTGTTGAGACTGTCAGTAACTTCTGGTCTAGGACTAACTCTCCAGCCTTTGCATCAATTGCTGAGACGACATGGTTATATATTGTGCTAGAGGCAACATAGGTAGCATTTCCTTTACAATTGTTTGGATTAACACTACAGGATATCACTGCACAGCAGTGGACAGGTTGCAACCTATTAAATTCAGACACATAGGGTCAGCATTGTAACAGTATTCAAACACAATCAAACGTAAGAGTGTATTAAAGCTTAAAGTAATTACTAAATTGTTGCTAAATAAACTCTAACTATGATAAAGGGTGTATTTGGAAGACAATCCGCACGTCAGGATATGCAACATGTTTTGTAGGACACACAACTACGACACGACTATGACTGACTTTCCACTTTGCAGGATAGCTATAGCAAAGAGCTCTGTGCTAGACAGTGTCTCCCATACGTTCAGAAGTCATCTTCACTTGACAGTCAGAAGTTGAACACTGCTGCAGTTAAATTACCTGTTAACCTGGCAAATCCGCCGATCGTCTCCGGAAGCGGAAGCCTCTTGAGGTAGGCTGGAAGCTGGACTTTTATTATCCTTGAAATGGATTCTAAAACCATCTTGAATTGTTCAATGTGGCAGGTTTTGTGTTTGACTTGGGTAGTTCCTGGGACTCTTTTATGTCATTGCGTTCATTTCTGAGCGTAGTTTTCCACCGGTACGTAAAGTATTACCGTGGAAACAACTGGAGAAAACAGGCGTTGAGGGTTTCGTGAATACACGTAACAACGACTGTGACGCTAGGGTGCGTGACCAATCGGCGTTGGAGGAGTTGGTAGCTCCTGATTGGACAACTTGAATTTAGCGTGAAAGTGGAAAGAGGTGGTTTCGGTCTACTTCAAGGAATCCTCGTAAACTTCCCTTTTTTGAGAACTCTATACGGTTAAATAAATACATGAAAAAAACTGTTTTTGAACTTTGATGTTAATAAAACAATATATATATGTATTACTAATCCTTAATTAAAAGGTAAGTCCTTGAGATCAGTCATCTCTTTTCAAGGGATACCTGTCTAAGAGAGGCAGCAGTTTAAGTAATAAAAAA